TGAATTCGACGTATCGCAGCCGACTTACCCCGTTGTGAGGACGGCGGCAAAATCGACTTCTGCGGCTTTCTGTCGGCGGCGCTTACTACCATCTCCGCTGGTGGAGTAAGAGCGCCGATTCGGGGATCGATTGTCGCGTCCCGACGGGACGCGATAAATCGATCCCCGAGAGGTCGATTTCTACCCGCCGATTCAGGCGGGTAGTATAGACCTAGCTTTAGCCAGATCATTGCCCTAGAAGCTCATGTTCAATTGGTAAACCACACTGACCCAAGTTCTTACCGGAGTTTTTGCTTTCCAAAGTAGAGTCCTTGCTCCTGTAAGTATGACCTATATTTTTATTTCTATATGTATGACGTTGTATTTGACAATATTAAAATGTACATTGCTCAGATGCGCCCAGCTTACCAAACTGTAGTATCCTGTATGGAACATGGAGGGAGGAGCAGAGGTTGCAGATGGGAAGAATTTAAAGACATCACCAATAAGCTGGTTTGAGTGTACATGGCTTGAATGTTAACTACAGTTGCAGCATCTCTTAATAAAAAACTCAGTTATAGGAATATGGAGCCCTCTTGTGTTATTACCCAGGATGTTTTACATGAAACACAAAGGATCTAGATTGTTTTGAAGAATTAACCTGACTTCATAATTGTTAACCAGTTCACCAAGTTTTGTGTCAACTGTAAACTTTATCAGCAATAGACCTGGCTGAAATGAATTAAGTGAAAAAACTTCTCACAGAAAAATGTGTTTAAAATTTCAATTTCAACAAAAATTTAGGCTTTTCTAATCAGGAGTACTGGGGGGAAATCAGATTGACATGTTGAATAGTACACTTTCGATTGAAAATATTGAAATTTTCCATTTTAATATTTTTGATTTGAAACTTCAAAAATTACCTGTTTTTGGAAAAAATGTTATTTTGAGTAAGATTATTGAAAGTGTATCAAGGGGCAGATTTTTAAAGACATTGCAATGGAAGTTAGGTGCATAGCTGCCTAGTGGGATTTTGCAAAGCACTTATCTACATGTATAAGTGCACGCATACCTTTGAAAATCTGGCTGTAAGTGACTTAGTAGCAAAAGTCCTATTTTTAAAACTTATTTGGGAGCTTTGGTTCCTAAAGCTCATTGACTTATGCCTAAGCACCTTTTCTGAAAATGGGACTTAAACTGCTAAGTCAGTTAGGCACTCTTGAAAATGGTACCCTTCAATTTATTGTTCCGATTTGGAATGGGAAATTCATTTTGCACTGTTTTAATTTCCTGCTAAAAGAATGTTCTGTTTTTATATGATTTCAACAGAAAACCATAAACTCCTAATTTTATATTTCATTGCAACTGTTTTCCCAGCTCTCATTAGCATGTGTAATGACAATAGGGATCTACTTTTAGTCCCTTCTTCCTGAACTCTGAGTTTGTATGTTACACAAATTTAGAATCCCTTGGATTTCCTTTTACTTACTTTATTTGACTCACACTAGCATGCACTTTATACCCCCCTATGTACACATTCCTGGCCCCATTTAAGTTAATGGGAATGTTGCCATTGACCTCAGTGGAACCAAGATTTCACCTACTATCTCTAACTTTGGTCTACTGAGGAAATAAATTGGATTAAAGAGGTATGACTGAGGGCAAAATTTGGCTTGGAGAGACTGAGCGTAAGGAAGACTAAGGGACTTTATGTTGGTGTAACTCTCAGGCCAGTGGGCCAGAGATGAAAGGTGTAGCAAGAAAAGCAATTAGTTTCAGTAAAATTAATCAAATGATCACTGAATAGGCATTGTGGAAGGCAGAGACATTTTTGTTTAGTAAGTTACTGTGGT